TATCTCTAATATATATATATATATATATATATATATATATATATATATATATATATATATATATATTATCTTTAATGACTTGGAATATTAAACATTATTACTCATTTTTTTCTAGAAACTCTTCAAGCACTTCTCTTGAAATTTACCAACATGCTTTCTCTAAATCAATAAATATCATATGTAGATACTCGTTACTCTCTACTTTATCAAACTCTCAACAAATGTATAGCTTCCATTAGTAGTTAGATTTATCCTATATAAATCCAAATTGATTTTGGAGAAATATTATTATTGCGTCGGAACCTATGCTCAATTACTTTTCTTCATAATTTTTAATATATGACACATAAATTAAATTCATCTATTAATTTACACTCTTATTGATGTAGGATTACACACTCTTAAAGTAATTTTGACAAAGATCTTGCTCGAATTATTGCATTAGAGTATAACAAGTAGAACTCATTAAGCAATTAAAATGATGAAACAACGTAAGAGCATACTTTCGATTTAGGCAAGTTGGCACATCAAGAGCTTTGGACATGCATCAAAATCAAATACAGGAAATCATTATCATCCACTTAATAGCTATTCAACGAAAATCCCTAATTATACAATGAGATCTAGAATCAAATGAAGTGCACTCAATTCCCTACATTTACTAAGCTTGAAGAATTATGGCAAACATGACTCTTCCAAAACTACAACTTAATTACAAGGAGGGGGTTAAACTTTAAGAAATATATTATTCAAATACAAAGTGTTTTGACCAAGTATTTTCCTATTTTGGTTGGATTACATCAAAATCATCTTTAAGCTCATATCTTTTTGCTTTAGTCATGAATATTCTTACTAGTCATTTGCAAGAGAATGTACTCTGTAATAAATAGAATAATGGAGGTCAACCTTAGAGTCTAAAGGTTTTCATTTGAGTAGATTTAAAATAGAATACATTGATTGTAATTTTAGTAGTTATAAATTTAATGGTGGGATTATGACATTGGTTGATCAAGACATTAAAAAGAGAACATGTCTTAAATATATTGGGTATATTGTTCAAAGGAAGAGGATATTATTAGTAGAATTCAAGTTGAATTGTTGAAGTGGAGGAATGCATCAAACCTGTTGTGTGATAAAAAAGTTTCCCTCAAACTTACGGGAAAATTTTATAAGATGGTGATGAGACCAACAATGTTTTATGGCTTAGATTGTTAGCTGTTAAAAGAGAAGTATAAAATTAAATGTTGCAGAAATGAGGATGCTTAGGCGGATGAGTGGTTTTACACTTAAAGGCAATACGGAACAACTATATACGTCAAAAGGTTGGAGTAGCTCCAGTGGTAAATAAGATTAGAAAGAGTCTTCTTATATGATTTTTATCACATAAATCATCGGCCTTCCAATGATCCGGTTAGGAGAGTAGATGTATTAGATATGGCCTATGTTATGGAAGGTAGAGGTAGACCTAAGAAGACTTGGTTAATAAGTATTAGAAATGCTTTTAGATTTAAATGAGATTTTATTCTTAATAGGACACAACAAAGAAAAAGAATTCATGTAACTGACTCCACATAGTGGGATAAATGCTTGATGTTGTTGTTGCAGATTTTCTTCGCATCCATATAACCATTCTCATGTCCTTCTCGCTCAACTTGACTATAAACAATTTTTTTACTTCCTAGCATTTGGATTCATACAAACCTAAATACAAATTTATAAAAAGTGTCCATCATAACCTCTTATCTTATAATACTCTAGAGCACTTCTTTATTTTAACCAGCAAGCTTTAACTCTGTCCTTTTCTAGACCAATGATCAGACAATATAGTAACATACATTACCGCTGAGTGACAAGCTACATATATTAAATTGAGCATGATGATATAGTAATGCCCGCCCTAGTCTCAATATATGTTCTCGAATGAATAGTGTCAATCAACAAATATATCTTATTAGTTAAATAGATCATAGGAAAAAAAAATGGGAAAACAAAATAGTAACATAAAAAATCAGTTAGAATTGTACCTTTATCCCGAACAGCTACTTGCAGAGTGTCCAGAGTAATTATCCCATCTGTTAAAGGAAGTAACTCAAGTTTGACGCTGGTACTTGAGTGTGCAGGTACAACTCTACACAGCAAAAAATAAACACGGTTAGATATATAACTACATTTACAAGAAGTGATGATACACAATATTACCCTAGGGGCACTGCGCTCTGCAACCAGAGATGCGTACACCCCCGATCTGTGCTTGAAAGGCAATCAGAAGTTGCACCAATGCGCTGAGCAAGAGAAGTTGATACTTCACCATTAGCATCATTAACATCATATTTTTCAGCAACAGCAGGCATAAAACTCATTCTTTGCAGATTGCCAGCATTTTTATCCCCGGCTTCTCTTCCGATGATTTCAGGAAAACTAGCACGGGTATTTGTATGGTTTATTGGTGAGGAACTCAATGGAACAACTGAAGAAGAAGAAGGCGATGATAATGGAGCCAGAACAGTCAGAGTGAGGTCTTCAGATGTTAAGTTTGAGGCATGGAGGGTTAAAACCTGAATCATATTACTAGACTCAGATACTACTTTATTAATGGCTCAAAACACAATAAATTTCAACAAAAAAGCAGGAAAGAAATTATGCTTTTGACATTTAAAATAAGACCAGCTGGAAGAAATGAAAACCTGAACCGGGAGTTGTGGTAGTCTTGTTGATCCAATAGTCTGATCTGAAATTTCTGAAACTACAGAGATAATGAAATCCTTCGCAATGTGGGGACGCCAACTCGTTCTCTGCTTGAAGAATAATTTTGATTCTGTAAACAAACGAAAAGGGATAGGAGGTGAGGCGTTCATTAAAACTGCTACGATATATTCATCATTTTAAAGATAATATTATCATCTACTATTACCAGTATAGTTAGAACGGCAGGAAACTAAAACTGCATACTGATCTGTGCTAGGTGAAATTTTTTTCAAGTAACTCGCCTTCGAAGCTGATCCCAATGTAGTTTTTCCTACCTTCGGAACCGTAGAGTTTGTTTTACCATGGCCATTAAGATTCCCACCTAGTTTGGTCACTGGCTTCAGAATTAATGAATGTTCCTCGCCTCTCCTGTATATAGAAAATAATAAAAATCGATGGGAGCAAACAAAAACTATAGAAAATAAATTGGTTACTCAGAGCAGATAGCATTATCAAAAGATCTGAGTAAGAATACACCAGGAAAACTGATGTGAATGACACAGTTGGAACATCAAATTTTTAACTATTTGACTGCTTTTATGATCCTCAGCAGATAGTTTTGTTACAAAAAAAAATTGTTTTGGATAAAATCGCCAAAAAATTATCAACTCTTTAAGAGCCTTCAAAAAAAAAATCATGGTATTTGATTATATACTCGTGAGCCTGCCTACAGAGGATGTATGGGCACTAGATAGACCTGTATGCACACAAGCTATTTGCTAGAAACACTTTTTCAAACGTCATTATATTTGAGAAATAACCATTAAATGTAAAAAAAATTCTGACTATTTCAGAACATTTACAAATTCCCTTAGGGCTTAGATTCCTATAGCAACCTTACTGATCAATATCGAAAAAGGATTGACATAGCAACAAAAAGTTCACATACACTATCTGCAATATCCAATACAATATGTGAGGGTAGAAATATCATCTAAATTATAATATCTAAAGAACAAGGAAATGAATTCACATATCATTTTGCTCAAAAATAAGAAGCATTTGTTGCAAACTGACACTCAATAGCAGCTGTAACAAGTATATTTAATAAAAGAGAGAAATAAAATAAAATAACAGTCCAAGTAGGAAATGCGTCGCATATACAGAGGATCACATGCTGCAATAGCATAACACAAAAAAGAATTACAAACATGAACTCTCTAAGCATTACAAACTGACATTAAAGATTGAAGAAATCAAAACAAAGGTGAAATGACGACAATCTTTAAATGTCCAGGGACTGACTGGTGAAGGAAATTTAAATAAAAACTACGTGCCATATATGAGGTGTATCCATCATTTTCTAATATATATTAAGGGAGGACATACATGTTAAAGTTGCAAATACTAATATACATTAAACTAGGCAGATTCGTTGATAAGCTGAGAGAAGAAGCATTTTCAACTTACAAAATACAAAGTGCATAAGAAAAAAAAAAGAATGACCTGAGCGGAAGATTAGGTAAATTGTGACCACCTCCAGTCTCAATGCTTGAAAGCGGTAGATAAAAAGGTGGACTTCCTTTTGATGGTTCATCATATATAATAGTTATTGCATCCAAAAATATGGTTATATCTGGTAAATGTGCGGGTGAAACATTCTGAAGAATGAAGAAAAACTGTTTTAATATTTCAAGATAGACTAGAGCACATGTTTGATGATTGATTAGAGAACTTGCAAAAAATAAATATTTCAACAATAACCTATGAAGTAAGGACATCAATACATGACACCAGACACAAATATGATCCGAGACACAAACATGACATGACAAGAGTAAGGCAATATAGCATAATTGTAAGAAGTAGCACATGACATACTATAGACATGTTTTTTATAATTTATCAATAGAAATGTGTAATTAAAACCCCTAATGCTAATATTTTCTATTAATGAAAAACTCTAAATCATTATTACTCAGAAAAACATTTGAGTAAAAATCTTAAATATAAAGATTTGATGCAAATTAAAGATATAATAAGCTCTACATAAAGGAAATTTGGAGAAGAAAAAAAATCAATAAATAACCATATATCTGTAGTTGAAATCGCAACTAAGCAAAAAAGGATAAATATAAAGAGTAATATAGTCAAATAAAAGCACTTTGAAAGCATCACAATAATGTTAGAAAATGCTTGCAGCATGAAAATTAGTGAAGGAGCAGTAGGCTTGATAAATAATGAGCTATGGTGTGGCAAGCTTGATAAGATTAACTTCGCAAGCAAAACAAATTGAAGATGGGATGAGAGACAAATTAGGGTTTGTTGAGGCTTGCTGCAAAGAGAGGAGAATAAAAGAGCAGAAAATGAGTAGCATGGGCCAAAATGGGAGTTTCAAGTTGTCATGCAAAAATTGAATGAAAATGATTGAACTGATGAGAAATTTCTTAAACATGACCTGCGCATGGTCCCATGTGCATGGCTGTCATATCAAGGTGCATCCAAACCATATCAGACTCTAATTTTAAAGAAACATATTTCAAATATAATTTTAATCATGTTGAACATGTTTCAGTCGGTGTAAGCGGCATCTACAATACGGAAAAAAAAAAAAAAGATATTTTGCAATGTCCATGCTTCATAGATGATAAATAAAATGTAGACTATACAAAGTGTAGCAAATGGGTAAGGATAGTTTGATGTTACATTGAGAAAATTGAAATGGCACCTTGATCTGAACACATAGAAGATCCTCTGTAGTGCATGAAGCAGCAAAACTATGAATTTCTAACGGTTGAACAATTTCAATCTTTCTACGCCATCTCCTGCCAGGTAAGTAAATACCTTCAAAACCACAATGAACAGAAAACCGTTCTGGCACAAGAGAAACACCTCTAAATGAAAAAAGCCCCTCATTTTCCATATCATGATTCTTTGACCTCTCCGGTGTGAAACAATCTAAATCTTCTATGTCAAAGGAAGGTCTTGAATTGTGAGTAGCTGAGATAGACGGTGCACTATCTTTTGGAAGTGATGACATGGAGTAACTTCTGAACTGGCCGAAAGAGAAAATTTGTGAACCAGAATAGGAAGATGTTGACCTGTGAGTAGCAGCTGTTTGATCCTGCCCAAATGGAGGTAATAATGATTGAGGAGGAGATAAAGTACGGTTCAAAGGGAGTAACCAATTGAGAAGTTCCCCGCATGGATCATACTGATTTGAAGAATGTAAATCACTCAAGTTCTCAGCATCGGGAACAAAAGCTCCATACTTCTCAAACTGAAGAACCTCAAGCACAGGATCCTTTACATTGCCAACTGCAACATTCACTTGTAAAAGAACCTGCATCCTTCCAACAAATGCAATTGACATCATAAATTAGTACTGGTTCTAGTAAGTCAATCTGACAGAAAAAGAAAAGCAGTAGCCCAGCAAGGTAGGGAGAGGGCAATTAAGGTGCATATGCACGAATTTGACATTTCAAAAATGCTCAGAAAGCAAACTCTAAAAGTAAGGTAGGTTTTGATATAACCATTGGTTTTACCCTAAATGAGGGTGTTAGTTTTGGCAAAGCTCAATAATTATATTCACAATTTTTTTGATGATCAATAGGTAATGTAAAGTTGTAAACATATAAAACTATCTGTTAATGATTAATTTATGGCAGGAATATACTTAAAAATCTAACTAAGCAAAATGTAAACGCTAAATAATTGTGCACAAGATGTCGAATATCATGCAAGTTCAAGCCATAACATTTGGAAACTAGGAAATATATAAAGATGAAGTATTAGAAATAAGTCATATGCTAAATGATGAAAGAACAATTAAAAAAATACACAAACACTAACGTTAAATATAACAAAAAGAAGCAACAGCAGGAAGAGTTAGTAAGTGATATATTGACAATATAGATGAAAGATGGAACATTGGAAGAAGCAATTAGCAACAAGAACAATCAAATCACTCATAATAGTAACAGTGTAATTCAAATTTAATATAAAAATATTTATAAGTAAAATATTTTATGATTTTCATCCCATGATAAAAATGGTCCTCTAAATATATTAGAGACTCAAGGAACTACCAAGACCATCAGAGCTTTTTTTTTACCCGACAGTGGGTGATATGCAATTTTCAAAAGCTAGTATGGAAAGAAAGTGGTAGAAGTGCCCCAAGGTGGGAACTTAAACTGTGGGAAGATATTTATATACTCGATAGAACAGAATGCGTGCAGTAATTCTCAAGTGCATAGCTAAGACAAAGGAAACACAAAGAAGGGATATCATCCCGTTGAACCCAAGGAACAACGTGAAAATATGTGTGGAAAACCTACACCAGATTTATTTAATACCTAATGAAATATTTAAAAAAGGATTTGATAGCAATACAACAATTATTATTCAAAATTTAGCGAACAAACATACTGAAACTTACACAAAGGTGGTAAATTAAACAGTAAGAAGATACCTAATACTTAATTGAATAGAATGTTTGCATGAATTATCAAATGCCTAGCTAAGGCAAAGGAAACACACATAAGGGATAGTACCCTGATGAATCAAGGACAATGTGAAAAATAAGTGAAGTAGACCTACACCAGATTTACTTTATTACCTGAGAATCAGTGAACAAAATTACTTGATAGCTACACTACAGTTATTCTTCAAAATTTTGCTAACAAACATACTTTAGTTTGACGTATTTATTAGTCGCAATTAATCTTTAATGGTACTTTTTTAAATAAAATTTATTAATTAATCTTTAATAGTCCTTTTTTAATTAAAATTTATTATTGCACTTAATTTTTCTTTCTTTCTTTGGTAAGGGTAGTTTTGTAATGAATGTGAAATCAGTTTTGTCGAGTTTATTTACAGGTTAGACGGCCTTTTGGGGGATGGCTCGTCTGTTTTGGGAGAGGTGAGGTGGAGAGAAGCTCATAGGGGAGACAAGGTCTTCACCACAATTGATCTCCAGGCACCTAAATCTTCTCCTTTGTTTGTTTGTCTGTCCACCATTTTCTAGGGCTGAGAAGGGTGGTTGACGCCTATTTCTTGTTGACCTAAATGCCTCGTTAGGTTCTAACTACCTGTTGCTGAATCCGATAATGGTTGGGGACAGAAAATAGAAAAAGCACTTGAGAGTTCTTTGTTCAGGGTTTTCCATATGCACTAGTTCTCTAATTGGATGGCAGTCGGTGTCCCACAGCAGTTTTTGGAGTTCTTAGCACAACAGATTCCAGATACAGGATTTCTTGAAGTTCAGAATAAAGCTAACATCTTGAATAAAGAATCAACATCATCAGGTTCTCTGTTTTTAAGCCTCTCTAATATCATCAAATTGCTTTTCATGTGGAAATTTGACCACCATTTTATCTTTTGGTGACATTGCTGGACATTCCAACCAAGAATCTTTTACAAGACAAAGTTCAGTCGACATTGATCGTTGTTCAAGCTAGTATTTTGGATCCCCTAAAAGATGGCTTATACCCAATTCTCTGTTTTTCTTTCTTTTATTATCCTTTAAGGTAGTTATTGATCAATTAATCTACCAATTCTCATTGGCACAATTTCTGGCGGCGGGAATTCCAGCCACACCAGCAGTTGGTTTCACCTAGAACCTGAAGTTCCTGGGAGAAGCAAACTGCTGGATTGGAAGTTGCTGCAGCTGGTTCACCAAGAACCGAAACAGGGAGATTAACAGGATGGTAAACGCTGCCTTTTCTGTTTAAGAATGGTTTAGGTCATTCTTAGATAAGGTTTTAGGAACCATTTTAAGTGTGCCAAAGTTTAATTTAGTCGGAATTTAGAGTATCTCTAAGGAATTGTTAGTTGTTGAAAACTTTTATGGTGACATTAGTCTTATAAAATTAGATTGTTTAGCCTGTCCCCTACATCTTTAAAGTGGCATAGCTTATAATTAAACCTTTTATGAGTTTTTTTTTAATTGCAAATTCTTCAATATTCACACTATAACTTTAGTTGTGATGTCAATTCCATAACTCATAATTTTCATAGAACTACGCCATGACCTTCTACTATTTGAACAACCTATCTTTGGGCATGTTCGAAGTAAAAGGGATGTAAAGTATACCAAATGTAGGGGTTTTGAAAATACTGGGGTTTGATTTGAAGTAAAACAAATGCAAGATAAATTTTGCTACATTTGAAATTCTCTCTCTAGTTCATTTTTGTTGTATTTGGAATCCCTCATTTTTAAGCGAGTTCCAAATACATCATAAATTCATCGCCTTTGTTGCTGCCCCCCGCCAGCAGTCACCTCCGTCAACCGCCACTACCACGGTGTCGGCCACCACCCGCCACTTCCAACAACCGCCACCATCGTTGCAAGCCCCCATTGCCTCCGACCATCACCACACCACCCACCGCCGGTTGCCACCACCCACTGTCGGTAACCACCGCCCAACATCCACCTCTGGCAGCCGCCGGCCACCACCACTCACTTGAAGCCAACGCACCACAGTGCCGGCCTCCGCCACCCACCACTGCTGCCAACCACCACCCTATTTGGTCTTTACATTACACTCATTTTAATTCAAACCAAAGAAAAAAATATAATATCATGCATTCATTTTACAATCATTCAAACCACGCTGCATTCCATTTACACTGCAATATTTTTACATTGCATTTCTTTTTCAGGCAACCAAATAGTCCCTTACCATTGATTTTTTGGTCTTATGAAATTTATCAAGACTGAGATAGCTTCCATTCCGATGGCATTGTAAGCAGCACCATCACCTTTACACTAACCATCCTCGTTAAGCTTTATAAATTCTTTTGCTCCAACCTTGTTGATCCATAGGTGTTAGATCCAGTTGTTGATCCATAGTGTTAGATCCAGTTTGGTATAATTTTTTGAATTGCTTCTGATCATGCTAACTTTTGTCAGCCCATTTCCTTACTAAGCCCTTCTATATTCTTATTACTGTCACCTTATTCTGATTCTCTGGAACAGCTACATGTACATGCCTAACACTCAACCTAATTTTTTGTTTTTCAGCCTATGGAGATAAACGTAATATTTCAAATATACAAATCATATGATCTATATGCTGCCTAGGATTACTAAAATTCAATCTTCACAGTATCATTTCCACCACATTCAGCAAGCTGTCATTACAACGCAGTAGGTGTTAATCTCAACTAAGAATAAAGATAAGGTACAATGGCCCAGTTCACTTGTAGAATGTCATAAATGAAATAGACTTCTCTAAATCATCTTTTGGTTAAATAACTGCTTGCAGGACAATATTGCATTTCAGCAAGTATTACTTCAATACTACAGTCTGCCAAAAAAAAAAACAGCTGCATAATTTCATTATAAATTTAGCAAAACCATTTTTTGTAATCACAAATTAAAAATATGTAATTACAGAAACAATAGTATGCCTTGCCTAACTATGTGGAATCTTCTTTCAAAATCATCCTCTTCAAATCAAATTAATCAATTACTTCAAGAGCTATATTTGGACTTGAATCTAGTTTAGTTGACTAAACTAGATTAAAGAAGTCTATCCATTTCAACTTTGACCAGCCTATTTTCTAAGCTAGCCAATTCGCATTAACACAACCAATTATGAAAATAATGTATTAAAAAATTATGGCAATAATCAATAACATACCACTATGTCGCCACTGGACAAGGAGTAGCATCTAACATCTCTAGCCACCCCACCAGAAGCACTGAAGTCAAAGCTTCCTTGATCAATAATTGCACTGAGAAAATTACAGCTTTCTTTTCTTGGAGCACCATCTTTTGCGTGGAATATCCCTCCTGCCATCTCTGACTTTGTTGAAGATGATTCTACTGGAAATCTTTTAGACCACAGTGGTTCATCAGACTCTGCAATTCTTACAAAGAAGTTTGAACATCTAAATTTCTCTAGCAATGATTCTATCCGTAGCTTATGTTCTTCCTTCTGAAGCAAAGATTTGGTCATAGTCACATCCTGCTCAGGTTCCATCTCAGAAGGAGACAAAGTTTGATCTTTGCATTCACTTGGACCTGCATTTATAGTAAGCATGTCATTGTCATTCACTTGACCACTGACAGAAGAAGTGCTACATGAAACCTCATTCTGATGCTTCGTAAACTGTGTAGAGTTTTTGTTTTTTAACATGCCGCCAGAAACTATAAAGGGAGTTATGGCTTCTTCATCATGCTTAGCTGTTGATAAGCAAACCAACAAATGAAGCTGTTCACCTTAAGAAGAAAATATGTCACATAAATTGAGAGAGAAACTAAATGAGAAATTACTGCAGTGATAAGGTTGGAGGATCTAGCTACCAGAGAAAACAAAAGACCTGTCCAAAGAGTGCAACTGCTGTACATTTGATGCACGAAACCAATCATCACAAACTTTACCTACAACAAAATGAAGTTAAAAAAAATTAAAATTAGAATGAGAAGAGAGGAAAGTACATAATGGGAGATATTCCTTAGCATGGGTAAAAAGAAAATAATAAGTCGCAAACAAATAGGTGTAAAAACAACTATCTAGGAAATAAACAAATCAAGAAATTAATGTTAAATTTGGTAAGCCAAAACTTACTATATGGTAGAAATGGAATGTAGTTGTCCATGATTTGTTGGATTGATATAGATGAAAAGCTGTAGCCCATATATTATTAGATTACTAGATTGCTGTAGATGAAAAAATTGTTATCCACGAATTATTGAATTGTTGTTGATGAAAAGTTGTTGCCCACAAATTATTGTTTAAATTGTAGCTGGAAAGGTTTGTCATGGATACAAGATTATTCAAATACTCACCCTCAAGTTGGGTTGTATATATTGATCATGCCCAACTTGTTGATTAGATTATCCAAATTCATTCCAAGTAAAGCCTTGGTGAGGATATCTACAATTTGAGAGTATGTTGGAACATAATTAAGGTGGGCTAGTCCATTTCAAACTTTCTAAAGACAAATATCAGACTATCTTAATGCCATTAGTCCTGTGAACCTGTCAAGATGGAGAGGATTTTTTGAAATAAGGCAAGCCATTTGCCACAATATAGTTTTTGAAAGTTTTCTACATTATATTAATAATTTAATTCTTCTAGCAATCAATTTAAGTGCATTCGTTCGCAAACACCAAGTTTCGTTGCTATGTATTTAGATTCAGCCAAGGTAGTGAAAACCGGACTGGACAACGAACCGGAAGGAGAGGTTCACGATTCGACTAGTTCGAGCATCCGAACTGAGGTCGAACCAGATGACGTAATAAATAATAATATTATTAAAAAATAATAAAATTAAAATAATAATGATGTTATCATTTTAAATATAAGACAAAAAATTAAACAAAATAGAATACTATGAAATATAAAACTTACATAATTAATTAAAAAATATGTTTTTAAAATCTCATATAAAAGCAAAAGAATCCCAAATATCATATTTATAAGAATTTACACTCATAATAATATGAATTTAAAATTTCAATACTTCTTCATTTTTAAATTAGATTTTTAATCTAAATTTAATTTAAATATAAAAATATAATTTAATATAAATTATTATTAATTTATAATACACATTTAATATAAATTTAATTCAAATATAAGTTTATGAATTTAAAGGGTTACCATGGAGAGAAGAAATAGATAAGAAGTTCAAGACAAAATATAAGAGGAGAAGGGGAAAGGAGACATAGCTCGCAAGCTAGAAAAGCCCTCAAGATTTCTTTCCAAAAATTCTCATTTTTTTATCCTCAAAAAACTGCTCACAACAGCCCAAAATGCCCCTATAAATAGGAAAGAAAAGGAGGCCAACAGCCAGCCACAGTCGCCCCCTACAACCAACCAAAAAAGGGAAGAAAAAGGATGCATTAAAGGCACAGAAGAAGCCCACCCAAATAGCCAAGGAATCGGGAAAGCCAAGGGACGGCAACAGGAACCGAACAGCCAAGGCCAGGGGAACCGGGAAAGCAACAAAAAGCAGACAGCAACCATCAGCCCCCCAACTCATCCCAAACAAAAAGAGGGGGGGTTACTTACGTCAATTCTCCCTTGGGAGAGAATTCTCATCTCCTGATGAGATAACTTCAAAGCTTCCATGACGCGTCGAATGAGCCACATCTAGCTCTTGTATTAAAGATGCATACTTTCTTTGGATTTTTTTCTTTTTACTGAATAAATTGAGCTTGCAGTTGACTCTTTCTCTTCTCATATTTTTTCGTGCACAAAATCATTTTTTCATGAATTTTGAAAAGTTTGTTCTGGATTGGATCGGTAGAGCTTCCTTGTGGCGAGACCCGTCTACTTGTTGGAATATTTTCTTCAATATAAATTGGTTGATTTTGATTTTTCTTTTTTTTTAGAAGAAACGAAGACTAGAAAGACAACCAAGGGCTCTGATACCAAATTGATGCAACCAAAAATATAGGAAAACTAAGATTGCAAACAACTATACGTCTTCCTTTCCATAGACATTACAAACTTAAAATAAACACACACTACAACTTAAATATATTTTTGAGAAGAATGATACAATGCATAAGGGTTACCATGGAGAGAAGAAATAGATAAGAAGTTCAAGACAAAATATAAGAGGAGAAGGGGAAAGGGGACATAGCTCGCAAGCTAGAAAACCCTCAGGTTTTCTTTCCAAAAATTCTCATTTTTTCATCCTCCAAAAACTAATCACAACAGCCCAAAACTCCCCTATAAATAGGAAAGAAAAGTAGGCCAATAGCCAGCCACAACCGTCCCCCTACAGCCAACCAAAAAAGGGAAGAAAAAGGAAGCATTAAAGGCACAGAAGAAGCCAAACCAAATAGCCAGGGAATCGGGAAAGCCAAGGGACAGCAACAGGAACCGAACAACCAAGGCCAAGGGAACCGGGTAAGCCAGGGAGCAGTAGCAGGAACCGAACAGCCAAGGCCAGGGGAATCGGGAAAGCCACAGAAACCGAACAGCCACCAAGCATACAGCAACCATCTACCCCCTAAATCAGCCCAAACAAAAGAGGAAAGGGGGGGGGGGTGGCTTGCTTACATCAATGTCCCAATTAAGAAAAGCATTTTTAATGTCAAGTTGATGTAGAGACCAATCCAAATTTACCATATAGAGCAAAATTCAAATTGTGTTGAGTTTGACCATAGGAGAGAATGTTCCTTGATAGTCAATACCAAATTATTAGATGAACCATTTTGCAATTTATCCATGCTCACATATGATTTATATTTGATTGTAAAAATTCATTTGCATTTAACAGATTTTTTTCTAGTTGATGTAGGCTCTGAAAATTCATGCCCCGACCTCTCTACGCCTCTCTCTTTTAATATGGAGAGTTTTAACGAATTAGGTTCTGGGGTAAATTTTCAAAAGGCAAATTGGGTTTTAGATAAGACACTACCAAGAGATTTCGTTCTCATTTTATACGGATTTTATGATATGAGTTCTGGTTTCTCATATGCGCAAGCCCCTATAGTTAATTACCCCTCCCGATAAAGAGAGAGAACTTTCGATTAAGGCTATTCATTAAATAAGTCGCAATGATTATTTTTTTTCTAGGTCGCAATGATTACCCTTTTTTTTGGATAAAACCCTCTGAGGGACCTATGTGTTAATTTAAAAAAAAAAATAAGAGGATTACAAATCCTTAATGAATCATTAGCTCTTGGAAAGTACAATATTTGAATCAAAACCTAAGAGCATATGATCCAAACTATTACAATAAAAACACAATAAACAAACCATCAGCAATCCAAACATAACCACAAGGAAACAGGAACAAAATGACATCAACAGAAGCACCAGCTAGCAGAAACAACAACAACAAACAGACCTCAATCCACCTACACAAGAGGAAGAAAACTGGAGAAAGGAAAGACAAACAAAGGCATCAGACAGTCCCCAACCCGGGCAAAGAACCACACAAACCAAACTCGACAAAACCAACAAGCCAGCCAGGCCTAAGAGACCCTACCGAGAGTACCCAAGGCATAACATCACAATAAAAAACACGAACCCCAGCCAGAACAAAAGCAACCCAACAATCCAAAACAAACCACCACCCAAAACAACTAACCCCTTGAACCATATAACAGAGCAGCATAACCAACACAACAAAAAATAAACAAAAGAAGGAGACGAGCACTAAAAAAACAATCATTTCTTTTTAGCTTTCCTCCGTCTATGCTTAACAACATTTTTTAAGGAACTCTTAGGTTAGAATGCTTACCTAACGTATAATAAAAGTGATTTTAGAGTTTGAATTTAGTTTTAAATATTGAAATTTATGACTTGAAATCTATCATCATATACTTAAAGCGGGTGATGGGAGAAAATAATGACATGCTCGATCAAAATCGCATGGCTCCGTTATCATGGGCTATCGTGGTCCATGGTCTACCTAGTCAGAGGAAGTAGTCGACCCAACCTGACAGAAAGAACCTTATCAACAGCCATAAGTTACATCCTCTAAAAATACCTTGTAGACATGTGGTTGATGTTTATCTAAAGTGTTGAATTTAAGTCAACCTTATCTACCAGAGGGGTTTATATCTTATCAAGCGCACACTATAATTCATTACTCAATTGTTTGTTAACCATTAAGGAACATACAAGTTTTTGTTGTGATCGTAATATAGTGGTGTCGTTTTGCACCGAAACCATCCAATTAGAGGGCACTTGACACATCCCTACTGGCGATAAATCAATTGAGAATGAATTGCATTTATACATTCAACAAGACATCTGTTCTTTCTGAGCTAAAGTTATTCTTCAATTCATTATCCTCGTCAAACTATTGTGAAGTGTAAAAGAATTTTGATTTTAAGTTTTTGGTTACATATTTCATTTTAAGGATTTAGAATTTTAGAAGGATATTAGTTTAGATTTTGAATAAATGATTTTAAAGTTTTGAGAACATTTTTTAAAATTAAATAGCTCTTTCCGATTAAAATTTCCTATCAACACGACTATCATCGAAGTGTTTGAGCATTTTTAGCAAATCCACAAAGTATTCTTAGATCTTAGATTTAGGATCATGATGTAAAAATCGGAGCACATGCGAAATAAATTTTAGCTTATAGATCGGAGCTATTGTAGGGGTGTTTGAACACTTTTAACGAATCCGCAATGTTTCTTGGAGCGAAACATTTTAAGAAATAAGATCTCCATTAAGTGAGGGTTCTACAAGAGCATTGACAAGAAAACTCAAGAGCCTTGACAGGAGAACTCTCTCAGAGTAAAGAATTTGAAATTCTTGGTTCTGAAGGAAGGTCTGCACAATCAGTCGAGGGGTTGAAGGTCTCGTAAGTAATTTCTTTCCACTAGACTCATGACCTTCAGAACTTGTGATAGCACTATCTTGTTTCTTAAGCTTAAACCAGTTTAAGATCCCAAGCTTCCCTTT